ATTAAGTTCAATAATATAAACTCCTCATGCGAATAACTTTAATTGAAAATATAAAATCACAAAATCTATATTGAATTGATTAGGCTACATCATAGCCTTAATAAAATAAATCAGTTCATAATAAAAATAATAAAATCAACAATCATAGTTATGAACAAGGAAAAATAAAACCTAATTTGAGAAAATTGCAATCCTTGATCTCCTATTGTTGAATCCTCTATCTTGACCTCCAAGAATGCCTAAAAGAGGGCTGCCACCAGCCTCTCCAAAGTTCCCTTTATTCTGAATTTGGATGGGTATTTATAGGATTTTAGAAACCTTAATTGAAATAGAAGTAGGACTTGGAATAGAAATAGGAAATTGAATTTTAGATACTGACCGCGTGGTGCTGACACTTCGGATTACGTGTTGACACAAAATAGGAAACAGAATTTGATTCTGGACATTTAGCACATGGTGTCGACACCTCAATAATGTGTCGACACTACACCCGTGTCGGGTTTTTGGCCTCGTTTTGCAATTTCTTCAATGGTAAAATAGCAGATTTGGTTCTTGATTTCTTGATTCTGCACAAGTTGATCCTCAAGTCTCTAATATCTTCAATTTACTTCTAAAAAGTAGGATTTCTTTCAATTAAATCCTTTCATTCACAAAGAATAAAAACCATGTAAAATCAAACAAAATGTCATAAAACTCATCCAAATATCAATAATATCAAAGTAAAAATTCCATATTAATATGTATATAAATTTAGCTCATCAGGGGATGCGGGGACAAGCGGGAAAAATCCCGTGTAGTGAGCCCCACTGCACACGTGGCGTCCATGTATGCAGAAAAGAAGCCACATCATAAAAAAGCAGATCCACGTCTGAACCTAACAAATAAAGAAACATCGCATGTGCCATGCCAATTTCAGTGTGCCACGTAGTGCATTTTTTAATGGTGCCGTGACGATCCGTTAAAATATTGGGTTTTTCACGGATTTTGAAAAGTGGAAGGTGTGAATAGGGAGGAAAAATTCTGGAAGGTGTTGACCGTGAAAAATAAATAAATGGAGGGTGCAAATAGGGGCTTTGGCCTTAATAAAACCTTCCAAACAGTGTTCATACACTAAAACGAGAATTTAACAGCATCAACAACTGCAACATTCGGATTTATGCGTCCGGATGTGAAAAGGGATCATGTGGTTGCTGTTCGGAGGATGTGCCAGTAGTAGACGAATCTCCTCTTGTCCCTCGAAGACCTATAGGTGCTGCCATCTGACACTCGCGAATGTGATCATCGAGCTTCGATTCAATCCGTGTAAGTCTCTCGAGAATGAACTGCATTCCTCTCTGTGTGCTAAATCTCTGAGGAACTCGAGATGAAGCAGCTTGTGAGGGACCTGCTTCTTCAGTTTCTTCGGCATGTTCTTCATCATCAAACCCCTCACCTTCATCATCTTGTCCTCTTCTTCTCCTTCTCTGCTTCATTTCCCACGAATTTGTTCTTGCATTGAATACATACCCCATTTTGTTAAGTGAACTGTCATTTAGAAGCTCGTGACGGTATAAGTCTCGGGACTCCATACCACGCAAATCAACACCCGCATTTTCCATAAGTAACGTGATCAGAGTGCCATACGCTAGTGCGAGTGTCGATCTATCCCTATAATACACCATGTGTCTCATAATATGGTATCCTAAATTGATCCGCCTTTGGCTAAGAATATATACAAACCACACACAATCTAGACCACTAAATTTCTCAAAAGAACCTTGCCTTGGCAAAATTATGTGATTGTAAATCCAAAACATTAACCGATTCTCCAAATTCAAGTGGTGAATGCTTAATGTTTGTCCCTTATTCCACTCATCCCCCATGATAGATTTCTTTGCTGATTCCTCTGTAAATGCATGCAATTCCCTGGCTCCCTCATTTGGCAAATGTAAAACATCATTTATGGTTTCAGCATCAAACTCAAAAGTCTTCCTAAGAACTGTTGTTTTATACCCTCCATCCTCCGAGTCACTCAAATTTGCATAAAAAATCTTAATCAATTGCGGGTAAACCCTCACCTTTCTAGTTACTAATTCAGTCCATCCCATTGCATCTAACGTTTCTCTTACATGCAGCCCCCCTTTGCATATATCTTTCAAAACTACTCTAAACTCATAAATGACATTCCTATTTCCTAAATTTCTATATATTTCCATAGCATTTGCAGATACAAAGTTTCGAGGGTTATCTGGTTGAAATACCTGCTCGGTGTCTGTGCTTTCACCCCTCTCCTCAGGACTTTGCTCAGCCCTTCGACGCCTTCCAGAAGTGCTTGCCGCCTGCCCCCTTGGTTGTTTTACAACTCTTTTAGTCCTCACCATTTTGGGAGATAATGCACGATTCTTAGAGGAATGGGCCGAAAATGATGTGGGTTTGTGTTTGGGTGAGTTATTTTTGTGAAATTTGGGAGGATTTTGGCTATTTTGAGGGTTAGGTTTCTTAGAGAGTCGAATAGGAGAAAGAGGGAAAATGGGAAAAACTGGAACTGTCGCGCTTTTAATCAAATCTCGCACCCAAGAGTCGACTATAACTTTTGAGAATCGACTCTTTGAAGAACAACAGTCAACTCTAAGAAAGAATAGTCGAATTTGAAAGTGGAAGTGTCTACTTCCCTGCAGCAAGAAAAGTCAACTATATGTAACTAAGAGTCGAATATGTATCGTTAAGAGTCGATTCTTTAGTGAAGAGTCGACTCTGTGCTGAACCAAATTATTTCCCTACTCTTTGGAATTTGGAAGTTGACTCTTGTTATGGTACAGTCGACTCTAGTGCCTAGAAGAGTCGAATTTGAATTCATAGAGTCGACTCTTTACTGTAATTCACAATAATTTTAAATTTTTCGTTTGAAGAGTCGAATATATAACTCAGTTTATAACCCTATAATTATATTTATTACCTTCATAATATCATATAACTGACCCTTAATATCACATAACTTCCTTTTTTACTGTAGCAATTAACTTTTCCCTCTCCTCCATTATTCTAGCAACCGTTTTCCTCCATTAATCTCCCTCATCCCCATTACTTCAGTAACTGTTCTCCATTATCTCCCTTTCCTCCAATCGTTTCCTCCCTTTTTCCTTTTATTTTATTATTATCATTATTTTTGTGTCTACTTCACACCCCTACTCAAATTTTTTCTGCACTCTCCTCCCATCTTTTTCTTTGGGTTCATGATCGTGAACCCAGATCTGAGTTTGTGTTGATGAACCCAACTCGATCTGGCTTCACAAACCCAGATCTAGGTTTCTGTTCATGAACCCAAATATCAGCAACTTCACCTTAATGCATTTTTTGGGTTTGTGTTCATGAAGCTTCCCTTCTTTTCTTCCTCAAAACAAGCCCTTTCCGCCATCTTACATGTTGTTTAGAATTTGAAATGAAAAGGGAAAGGAACATTCAGTTGGAAATATGGTTCCATAACAGCAAGTTAGATGTGGTTGAGAAATCCAGATTTTATGAATTAATTGTGAATTTTCATTTTAATATTTTTTATAGGTAAATTTTACTTGAATTCTTGCACAACATGAAATGGATTATGAAAAATTTGTTACATTTTATGTTTGGATATTGAGAAACGTTGTTCAAGAAATTTTGATTTATTTAATAATAGAGTATTTTTTAATAATGAAATGTATATAATAAGGAAATATAAATAATTAAACTTTAATTGGACTTAATTGTAAGATAATTGATTTGATTTCAAATGTAATTTATTATTTAATTGATATTAAATATAATTATAATAGCTTAACATTATAATTAAAAATGTTAATAGATGTCTTACTTTATAACTTTTTTGGATTTTATGGTATGAATTGTAATTAT